CAATCTTTTATTACCCTTTTTGCACAACTTTTCTGACTCACGCAAATGAGAACCAGCACATCTCATGAATTTTCAGCACATCTATAACATCTGCCTCATATACCTGCCAACACTGTTTAATGACAGCTAATAATAATTTTCCTTAAAAAATTCAAAGGCACATTAGACATGTCCCCACAAAGAGCACTCCCCTGACACAGTACAACTATACAGGTACATCTCATCCCCACAAAATACACACTCATTAACTACATCTCCCATCATCAATCCAACAGCCTTCCTTGCTCCCATGCATACCTCAAATTTCACTCCCTTCTTCCCATCTTTGGCTGTGCTTACCTGCAGCTGTGCTCCAGCATCATGACATGGTCCCACTTTTCCCCTCTGGGAGCAGAAAAAAAAGTACCATTCCACTGCCTTGTTTACACTCAGTGCTATAGAGGAACATCTTAAATGACCTCTAGACTTGTAGAAAGAAGAAAGGGTAATTCCCAGCCCCTCCCTGGCTCTAGGTTTTTGTAAGGTAGGGACCATGACCAGCAACAACTGCTCTACATTCTGCCCCTGACTGCAGTAATTGGGGTTTCTGCTGTTCCTCCACCTGTAACAGGGCAGCTCATCAGATGTGATTTCCTTGCAGTAGAGATGCTTTCTGTTGTGATGTTTCACATATCTGGTAGTCAGTGGGAAGCCCACTAACAAGTTATCTCTGTGCTAAAGCTACTTACAGTGTGGCCATTAGTGTCTCATCTAGCTCTGGTTTTCACTCTGGCTCCATCCAGGCTCCCACTTCTGATGTTTCTGGGAAGGTGCCATCAGAAGGTTGCCCACAGCCAGGTCCTCCAGATGAAACGTGCCAAGATCCGTATCTGACTGAAGCTCCTGCAGAAGTGCCCACGATAGGCTTTTTTGCAAAAGTGGGAGAGAAAAACTTCTTTCATGCAGCTTAAGATACTCTATAACACAGTCACTGCTGCGCTCAGCACAGAGGAGACTCTGCTGAGGACAGGACATGGGCTTGACCTCATATCTTGCTCTGCCCCAGCCCACCCAAAAGGTGGTAAACCAGGAGAGCTCTCTCCAGGGTGTGAGTTTTCCCACTAAGAGGAAAACAGACAAACTGTTCCTCTCACACTATTTCTGTGTACTCTGTGAGGCTAGGAACCAGCAGGTGATGCCCCTGGGAAGGCCATGGCTGCCAGGGTACCAGCACACACAGGAGAGGGGACTTGATCCTTCATGACAATGCACCTGAGAGGAGAGAAAAGGCAAAAACGCCTCCTTTTGTCTCTCCCTTTATAGTGTTGTCCTGCAGATAACACATCCCCTTTGTGTTCAATGGGTTAAACTGTTGAAAACAAAAGGCCTTTGATATTTACTGGTGTAATCTAAAAATACCCCAATTCTGCTGACAGCAAAAGCAAACACAAGCTTCCAGAGACTTTCTTCCCTTGCCGAAAATGGCATGCAGTGCCCCGGCTGGCTGACGCTGCCCCAAGTGAGATGAGATGAGTTGAAAGAGCAAGCTCAGCTTCCAATCCCCTCTCAGCCTTGCTATACATGGCGCCTTCACCCTCTGCCCTCCAGCTACTCCAGTAGAGCAAACCTCAGCTCCCACCCATCCCTCTGCCCAGCCCCAGGTACTTGCTGGCTCCGGGTGCCAGGTGGACTGTATGGCTCAGCCTGGTGGTTGCAGCGGGCCCTGATGCCCCATGAGGCTGAATGAACAGACTCGTTAGGCACCATAGGATGTCTTCACTCCATCACCTCCCCTCTGTCCCCAAAGAGGCTGTGTTAACTCACGATTTAGAATAACCCCAGATTTTACTGCAGTTTGGGTATTTTTCACTGGGAAGACAGAAGAAATGCTTGATAGAATTTACTTATCGCGTGCTATGCTGACACAGTGGTGGGGGTTTTAGTTTACACCTGCTTGTGAAGTTAGCAATTTGTGTTTGCTGGTTACACTCACAGCCTGAGACCTTTTTGGACAGATGATTTATTTGTCCAACATCATCTCAGCTGCAGTTTGCATACCGAGTTTAGATTTCTAGGCTATAGGTGTTCAAGTGTCTGAATGCTTGATCAGGAAGGGAAATGTTTTGGTGCCCCAGCTCTGACAGATGCAGCTTGCTTGCCTTCCTCCTCTGCCACCTACACCTTCTCCTCCACCTCCTCCTCTTCCTCTTCCTCCTCCTCCTCCTCCGCCTCCTCCTCCTCCTGCTCTCTGTTTCCAGATGCGCTTCCATATTCGACAATGTATAAAAACGATGGCTTCTTAAGGGGAAAACATCTACCTTGGCTAATGCATTGAAGACTCTGTCTTCTGCTTCACATTTTAAAGCATATGTGGACTAGAGGAAAAATATTTTCATATTATATCTGCTGGCATGCCTTAGGTCCTGTATTTAAAAATGCCAACAACCTCCCAAAGATTAGCTAATCATAATTAATAAAGAAAATGTACTGGCATTGAAAAATGAATTTGCTCCCTGAAAGTGACCTGAAGAGGGAATCAAAAGCCAAGGTTCATGAGATTTTAATCTTAGTTTCTGTATCAATTCCCTGTCCAGAGAGGTACATTTAACTGCTTTGTTTGCTTTATTCCTGTCTGAATGGGACTAGACATTAGCTTAGTCACTGTGGAGTTTAGTGGATTAATTAGCTAATTCAGCACCTCACTCTAATGATGTAAAAATTTTAAAAGCTTCACTGGAAGGATTTGAAGCTGTATCTTAAGAATTATTGCTCATTTACAACCTTTTTTGTAATACATTTTGGAAGAGTTAAAGGTAAGGCAAGAGGGGAAGATTTTCATTTTAAAGAGAGACATGCATTTCCATTTGGCAAGATTTTGCATCCTGATGGGAATATGTGAACACCCAGTCTCTGATCTTGCCTCAATCCATATTTAATCTCGGAGAGTGCTGTGGTGTAAATTTGCAGGCAAGTTTCAGGAAGCATAGGGGAATATTCCAGGCTTCCTTGTGCTTTGGCGAAACTATAAAGGTAAAAAAAAGTAGGTGAAGCAGGGCAGTAATCTCAGGTCATCCCACATAGAGGACAAAAAAGACAATGAAGACAAAAGAACAGAGCTAAAGACAGCTTCTTTTTTGACAAGCAACGGGGAGATTTATACAGTGTCCTTTGGGATTAAAATGATTTCCTCTTTTTCTCTGGACAGATCTTTTTGGTTCGGTGAATAAGGGGATGAAACCCTGCCCGTGAAAGTTAGCCAGAGGACAAAGCCTGGGGGGTATTTCTTACACGGGAGAGGACGCTGCCCCTCTCCCTGCCCGGGGTGCTCTGCCGTAGGGCTTCTCCTGCCGCCCCAGCAGTGCTCACCCACTCCTCTTCACCACGGTGCCACTCCGCGGCGGCTCTGCACTCGGCTTCGGTGTGCCGCAAAGGGAGCGGGTGGGAGTACGAAATCAGATTGAGCCAGCGGTAGGAAAACAAGCAGGGTTTTAGGAGCTGGTGGAGTGTTAGGAAGATGCTGAGGATGGTGAGATTAAAAATAGGCTGTAGCCAGCCTTCCCTGGCATTTTGGCATCTTAACTGCCTGTTATCCTTGTGACCCACTGAAGAAGAGGCAGCAGTGGAAGAGATTATCTCTTTCATCACCCTGGCAGTGCAGGACAAACGGTATTTTGTTCCTAACTAAATCCTTCTGCTCTCTCTGTCTGGTGAGGTCTGCTGGAAGGATGTGAACTGAGTGTTTTCTCACAGTCTTCAGTCAAACCAAGGGACTCTCTCCTTCCCTGAAGTTCAACAAAGCACTTGTGTGCATTGAAGATGAGGTCATTCCTTCAGATTTCACAGGGTGTTTGCAGGCTCCCATCATTTGGTAGGAAAAAGGGCAATTTTTTAAAGAAACCACTGGATGTATGTTGCAGGATTTTCAACTCAAGACATTTATTAAAGAAAGCCCTTGACAGAACTAGGTTATCCGGTACAATCCACATTACATCTTTGTACCTACCTTAGCAATGCTGTGTTTGTATTAAAAAAACCCAACAGTCCATATTGATAAGAGGTGTTGAAATGCATACTTAGATAGGGTGACTGAACTTCTTGGCCAGCAGTTTGTACATTCTAGGGGTCGGAAACAGTTTCTTCTGCTCTTTGCCCATGCTATGTATTTCTGCATGTTGGTTGTGTGACTCACAGTGCTCCTCTGAGCTGAGGGTTTCAGCTAGCCAGGGGCTCAACTAGTTCCCCAGGGGCCCAGGACATCAGCTGTGAGTAAATGATCAGGCTTTTCCAGTGTGGTAAATTCAGGAAGAATCTTTATAAAGGCTGCTATGGTGTAGTTTTTCCCCCCAATTTTAACTTTCATACATCAACAAGATCCTTCATCTGAACTGTTTTAGGAAGTCTGAAGGGTGTTTGCAAGTTTTGTAAGTTGGTCTCAAGCAGAGTCAAAGGCTGCAACACCAGGTCACTTGGCTCCAGCACTGGTTTAGTTGCTTCTGCTTTGTTAAAACATTCTCTCAGGTTAACAACTTGTGAGTGGGGAAAGCATTGTGCAAAGATGCAGTGCCACATTAGCACCCCTCTTTTTGTGCGTGCTCCTTTTAGAGCAGTATTTGAATAGGAACAGACTGCCAGACCCGTACAGCTTTCTAGAGCCAGTTCTACTCTAACTCTGGGTGCAGTTTTCCCTTTTAGAGATTCTGTGTAGTAAAGGTTCTCCCCAAAAGAGAATCAACGGGCAGAAAAAAGGTAGACTGGTATTTCCACAGACACACAGCACTCCCTTGTAAACTGCCTACAGTGCATAAGTGGTTGCTGTTGGGTGGGGGAAAAGGAACCAAAATGCAAAGAGTGTTTTTTCTGTTCTGGTTTTCAAGTATACATATTGGTGTAATTCAATGGGAGACAGTAGCATGTTCCAGTGAGCGTAAGAAGTGGGATGCTATGAGAAGTGGGTCTGAGAGAAGGAATTTGGCATGAAACTGTGGCTTTCACTGGGTGTTTTGTTGTTGCTCTCTCCCTAGGAACGTTTGTATCTGCTTTCACCGTGTTGTGCGGAGCCCGGACCGACCTCCCCGACAGGCACATGTGTTGTGTCTTCTGGCTGAACATTGCTGCTGCTCTGATTCAGATCCTGACGGCCATCGTGATGGTTGGCTGGATTATGAGTATATTTTGGGGGATGGACATGGTCATTCTCGCAAGTAAGTACAGTGCACTCACCTCCCTGACTTCTCCTCTCTGTGGCCGTGTTGCTGGGTCCCAGCTACTGCCCCTGCAAGCCATCGGACTGCACTGTAGGGAGGAAGAGCCACAAGGACGGGCTCTGCAAGTCTGTGAGAAAAACACAGTAGGCAGAAGAATTGCTGAGAGGCAGTTGGGATGGGCCCTGTGACACATCTGGAAAAGCCTCCCATCCCACCACGTGATTTAGGATCTTCCTTTCCCCTTTATAAAATGAAAAGTGCAGGAAGGGGTGAGGCATCCCAGCACTGTGAACTCTGCTGTCTGGAGCCCCTTCTGCCCTGATTGCATCTGCGTGCGTGTTTGAACGAGAAAGCCCTTTGTCGCTCGCAACTCCAGCTGTGTTTTTCCAGTTAGTGAGACCTTGCAGCAAGTCCAGTTCCACTCCCACAGGGCACGCAGGGCCAGCTGTCCCCAGAAAAGCCCTGGATCTTCCCCTTTCTCCCCAGAATCCATTTACCCAAAGGGTGTTTTTTCATGTTTAACACCAAATTCTTAGTCTGAGCAGGACTGTTAAGCTACTCCTAGAAGGATTTCTCCTACACCTTTTTAAGAAGCCTCCAAAACATTAGGCTAGGGAAAGACGAGAGGAACCCTTTTTTAAACTTACATAATTTAGGTCACTCAGTTAGTATATATTACCAGTCTAGACTTTTACTGGTGCAAAAGTTGTATCATATCTGTATCATATTGCAGATAATTATGTGACAGTCTCACCTCTTCTCCAGAGTCAAAAGCAGACCAAAATTCAGGGTGCTGATTGTGCCAGAAAGACCCCACTCCCTTTCCAAAGGCCGTCAGAGGCCAGTGGGCATTGACCCAAACCAAACAGGTCTGAGATCCTTCGGGCTGGTGGGGCAAGCAGTTCCCAAAGCAAGCACTTCTCCCAGAGAATGTCTTACCCGCAGCTTTTGCTTTTTGGTTTGAAGGAGCTCCACTTTGTTATTGCTGCTGCTGACATCTGTGGCTGCATGACAGAGAGGATCTCAGGCAAATTGCCTAAAGATGAAAGGGATGAAACTGAAAGAAAGCCATCAGGAAAACAGTGCACATCTTCAGCTACCAAACCCAGGGGTTAAACCCTCTCACCAAACCACTTGGTTTCTGAGTGATTTCTGAGACAGCTTCAATTTACAGGCTGAGTTAAGGGCAATCCCCATGCAGAGCAAACGATGGATATTAAAAACCTGAACATAAGCGAGGCAAAAGGCTTCCCTCAGGACAAAGGCAGCACTGTCCTTTGTTTTTCCCTGCAAACCACCTGCCAAGTTTCCTCTCAGATGTACCCACAGAGCAGGGGTAGCCCAAGTTATTTCTGAGGATAAATTGTGAATCGGTGTACATCTGTGATGTGTCTTTAAGAACCTGCCCAATTTGTGTGTAATCCCATAATTACGTGTTCATAATCATATGCTCTTCTGATATTCCTCTGCTGGACAGACTCTGTGCATGGTTTGCTGTCTCGCAGGACCCAGTTCTGCAGTTGTGGGGAGAGGCAGGAAAGTATTTATCCAGACAAAGAACTACAGCTGAAACTGTGACTTGCTTTTTCTCCATAGTCCTGTTCATGTATGTCCTCTGGGTAGAGAGGCTGGGGCTCAGGAGAGTCTTGATTTCCCAGTTTGGTTGCCGGGGAAGACTATACAGCTTGGAAGTATCGTCCCAAAGCTGTTTCCCACACCTGTCTGGACCACGTTAGTTTGGGAGTTAGAGGGTGGGTGAGCAGCATGTGGTGGAGATGCTCAGGCCAAGAGGTTCCCCACTACAGCAACAGTATTTCATCCTGGCCCCACTAGTGGCATTAGAGAAGGGTAAGAGGAGTCAGTGTGTCTTACGTTAACCAGCTATGTATTATCTGACAAGTTACAGCCCTTGGCAGTTTCTTGCTGTCTCAATAAATAGCTGGGTTTTAAGTTTACTTACCATGAAGAGAAAATAATGGCTAAATAAAGCAGCTCTTGGCTGATGGAGAATAAAAGAAAAAACTAATTTTTCAGTCAAAACAAAGAACAGAAGTGATCAACTGCTCCCAGCTGGATCAAACAGCCCTGTCAGACCCAAAATGGTTTGTTTTTTCATGCTTTGTTTTCATGTTAAAAAACCCTAATAACTTTAAAAGGAAACAATGTTTCAAATGCGAGAAATAAGACATTTCATTTAAAAACATTGCCAGGAAACAGTTTGCTTTGGTTGGGTTTTGTTTTTGTGCACAACAAAATATTTGTAGAAATTGTACACTGATGCAACTTGAATCTGGTGGGAAATAGCTAAAAAAATATGAAACTACTGTCCACTTCTGCCCTTCTTCGCCTTGAAATGGACCATCCCATGCATCCCTGTAAGGGTGCCGTACAATTCTGATGAGCTAGAGGCAGAGCACAGTGGGTGGTGTTTAAGCTGATGGGGGCTAGCAGTGAGGAGAAGGGTGGGAAGCAGCCAGGGCTCGGGACTCCTCTCTGGCTTTCCTTGAGGAATGAGTGCCTCACTCCCTGGATCAGGGCCTGCCTACCTATTAGCTGGTAGAGAGCTAGGTGGGAGTTAAGGAGGCTTGTTGCAGTTTTTAATCTAGTGCTAATTCTCAGTCTGCTCCGAGAGGAGAGCTTTGGGGATAATGTCATACTACCTTTAATGAGGGGAAAAGGCAAAGAATGATAGGCCCATCAGGTATACTTCAATTCCTGGAAGAAGTAATCCAACAACTGACTTGCATGCATTTAGAAAATAAAGAAACAAAGTCATCTTGGGTTTGTCCAGGGCAAAATGTGTCAGACTCACCTGATGCCCTGTGACAGAGGAATTCATTTTGTGAGAGGTGGCAGTGGTCAACCATCCCCCCTGACTTTCAGGCACTGGCACTGTCTCACATAGCATTCCTACCAGGAAGCCAGGGAGACATGACCTGGGTGAAAATGCACTTGAGAACTGTTCTCTAAATACATTTTCCTGAACTGGAAAGATATAAGGTGTTGAAAGGTCCCTCCTGAATCCAGCTCTGTTCGGTATTTTAATTCCTGGCTTGATGATGGACCAGAGAAGGGACTTACCAGCCCTGCACCACTGGCAGCTTCAAGGATGGCAGGCACAGTGAGGGCAGTGTCTGGATTCAAGCAAATTGAAGACATGATCTGAAAAAACAAATGTCAATAGAGACAAATGCAAGACACTAGGGATGGATTAATCAGCTGCATAAATACACGCTAGGGAACAACTTGTTTTTCAGAGAAGGCTGTGGTGGCTGCAGTGAGTCACAAGGCTGCGCAGGAGTACATTGCTGTGGAGGGAGCAAACACACACACACACACACACACCCCCGACAGGTAGGAGCAGAGCCTGTAGGACATTAACGGGTCTCCTCACCTTTCTTGTCACACATAAAGCTGCAGCGAGGCTTATGGCCAGCTTTGGAGACTGTACTTCATGTGGACAACGTGGAGAGAGTCCAGAGGACTGTGAGACAGCAGGCAATGAAGAGGTTCAGCAGGCTAGTAAATGTGAGAGGGCAGCAGTTTAGCCAAAGACAGACTTACTTGAACAACAGCACGAAAAATCTGTTTGGAAATTAGGAGATATTTTCCCTCAAGTAAGGTCAAGATGCTGAAGAGGTGGCATGGCAGGATCTGCCGTCTCTGTCACTGGAAGACCCCGAGAGCAGGTAGACCCCTGTCTACCAGGAGCAAGGTTGGACACGGGAGAGACAGATTGACCTCAGGGCGTCCCGCCCAGCCCTGATCTCCTGTAAGGTGACATTTAGCAGGATATATCCCAGAAGGAAGATTAACTGAATGCAGTTTTGCTGTCACACTTAATTACTTTTGGCAGCACAATGGCATGGGGCATTTTCTCTGCTAATTTGAATGAATTGCCAGCTGGCTCCATTAAACATCACAGATATCTTCTTTAAGCAGCCATATGGCTTCGGGAACCATACTTCACTTTACCTGCTGTCTGAAGGCAAAGGTAGATTAAAAGGAAATAATTATTTTGAAAAAAAAAAAAAAAAAACAGGACTTTCCCTTTGTCACCGCAAATATCCAGCTGCCCTTGGTGGTGGCTGGGCAGCATGCTCTCCTCGAACCCCTCCTCACGGCTGCGGGGAAGAGGCATGGAGATGAGGCAAAACAGCTAATTAGCTGGCCAAGGCCAACTGGAAAATGAGCCTCCTAAGGCTTTCTGGGCAAGTTTCCCTCTGCGAAAGGCACACCTTGTCCCCAGCCCACGCAACACACGTCTTCATTAGCTGCATTGTGCAGAATGAACGCAGAGGAACAGCCTTTCCAGGAACTCCCTAACTGCTCAGAGCTCATTAGAAAAGGTTTTGTGCCATTTTTTGACAGAAATACCACAGAAATCAATATAGTAATATCACACTGAGGTGGCATAGGGGACCAAAGTCAGGGACTCTTTGTCCAGACCTTGTTTTGCCTCTAATGAAAGAAGCCAAGAAGTCAAGCCTGGTTTCTGAGGGAAGCCCTTGCTCAGCTTCTGGCCTCTGAATTAACGACTTGCATGACTGTGCCTGTGAATGAATAAGGTGCCATTGCTTGTGGTTTCACAGGACAGGGACTCTTGGTGCAGCCCCTGCTTTTGCAGTGGGCAGCTGACTCTCAGGGACTGATTGCCAGCTAGTCGTAAGAGATTACCTGTAATCATGCTGTCCACTTGTCACTCCTTTGCTAATTACAGTGCTCAGACCTTGCCAGAAGCAGCAGCAGATGATTGCTTGGTTACTGTATGCTCGGGCTCCAAGGGACTTTGGAAAGCTCCACCAAGCCTCTTGTACTCTGCAGCGTCCCTGCTAGGGCAGGTAACGCAGCTGTCCTGGGAAGGAAAGGGAGGAGAAAGTGCGTGAGAGACTACTTGCAAGAGAACCACATCCTAAAACAGCTGGTAACCCTTTATGACATGAAGGAAATTCTGAGGACAAATTGCCTGCTTAGACCTATTACATTCGTTTTTTAAAAATCTAACAAGAGGCATTCCCCAAACTACGCCTGAGTAATGTAGTTAAAATACCCTATTTTGCAGTTTCCTACCAAATGCTGCGATAGGGTAAGTTCTTAAAATATTGTAGGAATGTTAAATACCAGTAGGGTTTGCAGCACCCAGCTGGGTTGAGGCACGCTGCGGTTTTGTGTTATCTGTGGGCACAAGCAAACTCGGCAACAAAACTGCCAAAAAACCCATGAGGTGTAGTTTTCACAGATCTGGGGCTGTGAATGACGTGCCATGCACTGTCCAGTACACCATGATGTCTCTTGTTTGCTGCTTTCCTTCCGTGGTTTCCCTTCAGTCACAACCCTGTGAAGTAGCAGTGTCACAGGAGAAAGTGTCGGAGCATTGCTCCACAGTGTTGGTCCATCCAGCCTGTCTGGCTCGGGGCCAGTGAGCTGGAAATCAGATGAGGACTCCCCCACCCTCTTTAAACAAGAGCCCCAAGTAAAATGATCCGTTTCAAGTACAAGGATTTTAAATAAAGTTTAGCCCTGGTGTGAATGTCTGATGGTAGAGCAGCTGTTCTCTGTTTACTCTGCAGCTCCAATTTATTTGTTCTTTTCTGGTTCTCCATGTGTTTCGGATATATTGTCTACAGTTACATTTCTCCCTCTCTCTTTCTTTCATGTTCCTTTGCCTCCTTTTGTTCACCATCAAAGTTTCACAAGGTAAGTTTGTTTCTGTTCTTCCTCCTTCTCCTCCTCCTCACACCCCATGGCAGCTCCCCCTGGAAAGCAGCGAGCACTCGGCCAGGGCAAGTCGTTTGGGATTCGCTTTGGCCAGCGCTGCCAGCTCCCAACCCAGGTCCAGCCGTGTGCCTGTACGTGTGTGTGTCCGCCTGTCTCTGTGTCTGTCCTGTGGCCGCACAGCCCTGGGAACCTGTTCTCCGCCCAGCTTTGAAATGCCCCTCGAGCTGCCCCAAGGGCACCCTCGGAGTAGGGCAAGGACCCATTTCAGCCTTGAGAGCATCCTGAAGCCACCCTCTGCATGAACCCAGTCCCAGTAGGACAGCTTGTGCACAGACTCATTTCTTTTTGCCTGAATCTTACAGTTGTTTACAGAAGTGCAATTTCAAGCAAACTTGATTAAATCAGTGATTTTGTGCACATACACTCAGACCAACTTAATCTTGATCCCAGAGCTCATTGCTTTACAGAGCTGAACCTTAACTGTATTGCAGGCGTACTAATGTAAATCTGCTTCATACAGAATAGCTATTCCTATGCAAAAAATGCAGTAACTATTTTCATATATCAGCTAATAAATCTGAAGTATTTTAATAAGTAAGTTTAGCATAGAACAGGTCATCTTTTGACTTGCTTTGATCATGTAAAGAGAGATACAAGCTCAGCCACCGTAACTGGCTCTCAGACAGCTTCAAAACTGATAGCAGGACTGAGAGGGTTTCTAATATATCTTAATAAAAGGCATGGCTATGCAAGCAAGTTACTGTAAGCATAACCTATCTTGCTTATCTAGCTAAGGATTTATGGCAGGCCCCAACTCTGGTCCAGATGGTTGGGTGGTTGTTTTTTTTTTTTTTACTGTGCTCCCTAAACAAATTAAACCAATGCTGTATACAAGCCCATATTACAGTTTCCAACCAGCTCCTCTTGCCTCCAGAGCTGACTCACTTAGAACATAAATGCATAAGAAATCATCATTTTTTCCCCCTAGAAAAAGCTGTTTGAAAAAGGAGAGAGTCTTTCTGTTCTGCTGCACACTATGGGCAGCAATGCAGTGCAGGGTAGTACGTGCTGGTAAGTGTTGTTAATCTTGTGCTCATAAAGCAGCAGGAGATCCAGGCTGACAAGGCTGGGGGCATGCATAGACTTTCCAGAGTACAACAGAGTTAATTTGCTGGGTCCAATTCTTAGTTGATCAAGAAGTCCCTTAAAGGTAGGGCTTGTGGCACTTACTGGTATTTTGTGTTTAGCTTTTTAAAGGGACTTACAAAATCCTAACATATGAGTTGGAAAGAAATACTTAAAAGCATCAATGGAAAGATGTACAAAGAGTTAAACATTTTTCTGAGATATGAAATTTCAGACTCATTTTAAATTCAAAATATAAAAATGGCAGGCTACTTAAAGAAAAGAAAACTCAAGATTTTTAAAAGGTTTCTAGTTGAAAGATCTTCACTATTGCAGGCAATACAGCTAAGGTCAGTTTGCTTCTTTAAAAAGATCTTTTGCATTGATACTATCATAATAATAATCCCAGCTTCTCTTAAAAAGAAAGTAGGTAAAGCTTCTGGTGCAGCCACAGCAAGCACCTAGGAAAGTGTTAAAAACCCCACGGTATTTCTCTCATTATCCTGTGCCAGCACAAGAGCAGTGGATGCTCTCCTATTGCCCTTTCCTGGCCTACCCTCCTGGGGGAAGGAGCCCTCCCCTATGGGATTTGCAGCGTCCCCTCAACCACTACATACAGGATAGCAAATAGAGTGGGGTCACGGTCCCCTGAGGAGCTCTGATGAGCAGAGGGATAAGCTGCTTTAGCCCTTGCAGCATCCTCATAGCTGCAACACAGCAGGTCCCCTGTGTCGGCTGGGGCCAAGCATGAGCCAACACAGAGCCCCCTGAGGGCTTTGCTGCCTTAGTCCAGTGGTACATTCGACCCCATGGCCAGGGGAAGAGGAGAAGGGGTAGAGGAGGAGGGATCTGGACAGTTTCCCAATGCAGTTTGTTTTGCTGCTGGAAAGCTCCATTTTCTCCAGTTCTGCAGGACAGCAAAAGCACTTGTAATTCTGCTGGCTGGAGCAAAGCAAATGCGTAACAAAGCAGTGAGAATATCATTAGGGAAAGGGTCCGCAGAGGCATCCTAAGTCTGTGTTTGAGCTCTGACACATCAGCCTGTGGTTAAAGGTGTTCCCCTTCTCCTCCAAGAGATGTTCGGTCACATCTGCAAACCGCAGCGCAAATTGGTTGCTGCTGGAGAGCTCTGTTAGCAAAAGCCAGCACAGGAACTAAACTGGCATCCTCTGGAAGGACAGGTACCAGACACAGATCGCAAGTAGAGATGAGAGTGTGTCGGATGCACAACCTGCAAGCTGCCAGGTCAGCACCTGGGAACAGCGGTGTCTCTGGAGCAGTATATAATGGCATATGCTTCCCCTGTGCTGCACAAAAAAATGTTTTGGCTTATTTAGCTGTACTGGACTTGGTGGCTACCGGTACCTACTGTGCCTTTATAAAGCTCTTCAAGCAGAAGCGCCTCTGCCCACGTTGGGGCCGGTGGCAGGCAGCCACCGCAAGGGCAAGGCTGGCCCCTGGCAGCCACATTGCTGTGCCCAGGAAGGTGGTTGCACCCCGTGGTTGTACAGGGCAGGTGTTAGCTAAAGCAAGCAGGGCAGCTCGCTGGGCTGAGCCTGCCCCGGGGCAGCCTGGCAGCAAGGGGGGACATGGCAGCCCCCTTATTTTCCGACATGATTTGCCACTCCTGGTGAACCAGGCTTATGGCTCACTTGAGCCTCGCCAAGGGTCCTCATTAGGTATTAACACTAATCATGTTCCCTTCCCCTCCCTCCTCACAGGCTACAAGGAACAGGGGATCCCACAGCAGCTGTAGTGGCTGGGACAAGTATGCTCAGAGAAACACGGCGAGAGATTTCCTTGGGCAGCTGTGGGCCACGGACCTTTTCATTACCCTTTGTCTTTCTTCTTCCTTTTTTTTTTTGTTTCCTTCTGTTTGAACCCGGTTCATCTGCCCGTCCAGCGGAGCGGAGGTGCAGAGCAGCCGACGGAGACTTGCACTGATGCCATTGAGCAGCGGAGATGGGGCAAGCACGGCGTGGGTTAGGACTGGCCCCAGCCAGCACTCGGTGGGCGGCCGATGAGGAGGAGGACGGTGCTGGGAGGAGACAGACCCCTGGCGAAGGTGGCACCTGGGCAGGCAGCTGAGCCGGGGGAGCAGGAGATGCTGCTTTCTCTCTCTTCCCAGGGGGAAGTAGCTGAAGATGTTTTGCCTCCTTTTTATGCTCACCGTTAAAGAAAACTGGCTGTGAACATTAAATGCCAAGGAGCTATTAATAGATACATGTACAGTATGTAAAAGCAAACCAGTGGTACTTTTTCCTCACCCCGCGAGTCCATCCTTGACTGCTTTGCGGTAGCGGAGGGCTCAGCCCAGCCTCCTCTACTGTCTGTATATATATATGATGCTCAATGAAGCTCCGTCCCTGCAGATGTCTTGAAAAACGTGCTTGCTGTAAAATGTATTGTATTGCTGAACTGACTGGGGCCATCCCCTGCTTCCAACCGCTGGCACCATGTGAAGACCAGACCTCCCACCGTGTCCTGGGGAGACTTTATCTAGCAAGGGACCGGTGCCCTGCAGCGCCTTGCCTCTAGGGTGGTGGGTGCAGCCACATCCTGCCACAAGCTCCTAGTGTAAAACAATACTGGGGGAGCCTCCAAAAAAAGAGACTTTTCATCTCCTCCCCCTGAAAAGGACTTGCTGGCAGCGTCTCCGTGCTTTGAAAATGAATCCCCTTACAGCGCAGCGCGTGCTCCTGGCTGAAATAGTGTCCGCGCTCCACTTCCCTGGGGTAAGTGCCCAAAGCTTGAGGATTGCTACCTGGTGCTAACCAGCTGCTCAGTAGCTGTCATGGTTGGAAGCCCGCGGCCAGATGGGGTAGGGCTGTGTTTTCCTGGTTTGAACACAATGCACAGAGCTGAAATGGGCATCCAGGCTGAGTAACTCCTCTGATGCTGCAGAGCGAGAGGAGCTCAGCCAGGGGGACCTGGTGGCAGCATGTGGCTGCTTTTCCACTCCAAAAAGGTGGCTGGAGGAGCCCCACTGAAAGAGGGCAACATCAGGCTTCTTTCTCGCTGAGAGGAGGGTCCTTCCAGCAAGAGGAGCTTCACACAAACTGGCTGCCAAAAGTGGGAGCCACCCAAGCGTGACAGAGCTGAGACCCACTTCCAGTCCATGGCTCCTTCAGAGAGGCAACTGGTGGGCAAGGGGACAGCAGCAAACCCCGCTGCCCTACAAGCTCCTGGCCTATCCTAGAATGATGGTTTGCTTTTAAAGCAAGTTTTAATTTTCCACGCAGAGCAGATCCTGTCAGTTGAAATACCTCATGTTGCTGAGAGAGCTCAGGTGTCAAATAGCTGCAAGTGCCTCTGAGCACACATCTCCTTGCCTGATCACCTGCAGGCAGAAAGTGCAGACCACCCGGCTCTTCTCCATGTACTGTGCATTAAACCCTCAGAGGCATCGCAGGGGTGCACTGAACAGGACAGCCGCCCGCCAAGGGTGGAGGAGAGCCCTGCACTGGGCACGGTGCCTGTTGGTGATCCCCCGAGGGAGCTGGTGGGGTAGGAAGCTCCTTTAGTGTTTGCACCAGCAGAAAACATGGCTTAGCCTCCCTGGAGCCCCAGATGCTCTCCTGAAGGCTTTAATGCAGGACATTTCCTCCCAGAAGGTTTCCTACCTGACCAGTGCTCACACTTCACTGTGAGCTCACAGCCTGTGGAAAGCAGGCACCAAGACCTCTCTGCTCTCCCAGCTCAAGGAAGTCCTTCTCCAGAACTAATAATAAAGCAAAATCCACAGTCTCAACTAACTTGTGGTGGGACATGACCCATCTAGCATTTATGCAGTGCAGGAGTCAGAACTGATGACGAATTTCTTTCACCCTATCCTTTGACGACTGGGCTCTATAAAAAGCTTTGGGCTGCCGGAACAGGAGAAAGGGGCAGAGTCAGGAGCCTTGGGAGCACCAGCCTTCGCCGTGAGCCAGCAAACTGCTGGCTCAAGCACTTCCCCTGGTCCCAGCAGCCTTAATCGGAAGAGCAAATGGAACCCATATAATAAGGACGCAAATTTGTAACACAAAGAACTCACTGTATATTTTTCCAAGCCAGATTTCAGCTAGGGCAGTGTATTTTGCAGACATTCCCTTTGTGTATGTGCAAGTACTACCTGGTGTTTGAGCATGGCGTGCCTGAGCCAACATGCTCAGCTAAATGCCTGCAAAACTGCACAAGCCCCAGTGAGCACATGGCCTACCGTGCCTATAGTCTATAGGAGACATGTTTAAACTGGGTCTTTTGCATATGGTTAGCAAGAGGAGAGGAAACAAATCAACATGAAATGGTTTTGTGAAAGACCCTTCAGCTTAAGTTTAAAGCAATATTTCACAGGTCCTGGCCAAATATTAACAGTAACCCCCTGCATCTGTAGATGACAGACAGATGGCTATCCCTGTTGCACAGCTGAGAAACGGCAGTATGCCATAAGGTTAAACTGCCAGACTCCAAAGCAAACCCATGGCAGAAACACAGGAACAACTCGGGCTGCATTTCTCTTGCCTTGCACCCTGAGCAGTGGCTCATACTGCTGTGCTAGCCAGCCAGAAACGGGTATTTAGCAACTACCCTGTATCCAAATGGGGGTGCTAAGCAAAGCTAAATTTCGGCTGCTCCACAGAAAGCAAAGATCTGTGGCACGATGCAGACAAGAAAGCTGCTCATTTGTAATTTTAGAGGAAGATAGATGCAAACCCATCAGCTTTTAGAGACGCAAGCCACAGGCAGCAGTGAAGTGGGTTTCTTTGGAAGACAAGCACCAGTCAATGATGCTGTTAACCCAGGGCTGGATGCGCTCAAGAGGAAAAGCAGCACAGTTATCCTGCCATGATGCTGTGCTGCAGTGAGGCATGGTTACCTTGCTTTGCTAAGGAGAGGCTTGCAAGACAGCAGCACTTTGAAAAAATCAACTCTTAGTAGGTCAGTGGTGGAAGCCCAAGCATCATCTGACATCTGCGTTAAAGCCAAGGGATGAGCTCCTAGAGATTATTGTTGCCACAGCAAACACCAAAAGGATTCCTGCTCATGATGTTCAACATTTTCAACTCTGACCATTTCTAGGTCTGGTTAAGAAGGTAGCTGCTCAGTGACCTGTGCTATAGCATCTGCAGCTCTGTGGCTTGCAGGACTATACAGATGTTACAGATCTGAGCTTCAGCATTTACTGCGAGACAGGGAACCTGTGCTCTTTCATTTCCCTGGGAAAGTAAGGGGTAAATAGGATCTTAACCAGGAGCAAACAGTGAATCAGTAGCACAGCTGTAAAACACCTTCACAAGCTGCTGCTGTGATTGGAGGGAACTTTTTTTGCGGTTTGTAACTAGTAATTAAGCCACCTAAACAACTTGCCATCTCAGCTGCAGCGAGCATGATGACCAAGAGCAATGGTTACCTCTCACATTTCTCAAAACAGAATGGCTGGTTCAAGTGCAAACTCCAAACGCTGCCTGAGCATTGAGTTAGTTGTGCTGTGGTTTCAGGATGGATGTTCGGGAGCCTCTGCAGACACAGCTGACAGGTTTCACTAGGCCAGCTGGTAGAGGTGTAGAAAAGAAACCAGGCAAAGCCTTTGAGTGTAGAAGCTCTCAAACACGAGCAGCCAAGTGTGGCTTAAGAACAACTTGTTCTGGTGCCTCTGAAGATGGATTCACCTCTAGAAGATGGATTTAAACATTTACTGGACAGGCAATACAGGAAGTCTCAGTCTGGGGAGGGTTAACTAATCTGATGTTTTCACTGTGCATTAAACTGCCAGAAGTCATATGTCCTGTGGCATCAGATGTCAGACCAGCAGCAGATACCCCATCCCAGAGACGCGGCACCTGTACAAAAAGTCCTCCGGGAACGAAAAGTGGCAGAATTAGCTCCTTGTCCGCATTGCCAGGGTTTTGCTGGCCTTTCAGGCTACCTTTGGTGCTGCCTGTCCCTGTGCTTTAGTGAGGATGGAAGAATTAGGTTAGCTGGGGAAGGGCTTGTATGGAAATGCTGCTCTCCCCAGGACTGCCGCAGGTCTCCAGAGAGCATCACTTCAGTTACGTCTATGTGCTGGCTGCATTTGGCACAGCAGCACTATGCAGGAGAGGTGTGGAATTTATAAATTAGTTTCAGGTTTTGCTCTATTAAAATTTTTCTTATTCTATCAAATTGGTGAAGCCAAGAAAATAGCCAACACACCACTCTGGAGGCTCTGAAATCTGTCAAATGGACACGCAGGACGAAAGGCCTTATTTCTGCCTGTTGTGGAGATTTGCTTAATTGATTTTAATTAGCACCAAACAGACTCCCATTCTCTGCTTTAGGACAGGAGCAACTTTATACATTGGCCTTGCTACCAGGGAGCAAGCACCAAATTGCATTTTCCCCAGAGCTGCCCTGCTGCAGTAATGATGATAAAACCCCCCACTTTTTCCAATAGTCCTGGTTAAAACCAGCACCCCCAAGTTCCCCCCAGACCAGGTGTGAACAGCAGCACACTCTCGGGCAGTGGGGAGCCCCTGAGCCTCGTTTCATGTCTCCATGTGGCAGGTAGTGGGGAGACATGGGCTGCAGCGGGCTCGGAGGCTGAGCTGCAGGGCAGCGCTGGGGAAGCCAGAGGTGACAGATTGGATTTCAAGCCTTGGTGGTCACAAGGGGCTCAGCCCCATCTTTAATATCACACACACGCACATGCCAGCTTTTTTTTTTTTTTTCTTCCTTTCATAAGAGGCCAGAGCTTTGTGCCAGGGACAGACCAGACAGAGCCAGTCCCCTTGAGGGGCTCCTGAGGAGCCTGTGGTGGGGATGTTGGCAGCGAGCCAGAGGTGTGTGCATGGTGCCTGCACTGGTGAGAAGAGCCACACGGTGAAGACACAGGTATGAGTGCTAATTTGGTGCTTTCCCCTGTCACCAACGCGTGTCTTTCTCTTTAGGGCCAAATTAATCACCGGGTGCTTTTACACCTTTTTCCGGAGCGCTGCAGAGGGAGGCCACCCACTCCGGGATTCCCACCAACATCGGAGCTGGACAACTTGCCTCCCACCGCTGCAAGCCGACCCCTGCCTCCTCGCCAGCGTGGCTGGAGGCCACAGCCAGAGAACGCTTGATCTGGTCGAAGGTGCATGGCACCAGGCTGTTCCAGTATCATCTGCTTTTTAAATATAGATGTTCTAGATGCAAGTTTTACAGCTGAAGAGCAATAGCAGGTAACGAAGAATAAATGCAAATGCTTCACTCCCATCCACCGGCAACACAGTATTTTCTGCTGCTCTTTCCTGATTGTGAAAACCAGGTTTCTCAAAAAAAGGGCTTTAATGAAATAGTTCCTTGGTACTTGAACCCAGCCGGGCTGAACAGCTGGTTTACTACTCAGTGGAAAGCAATTCCAGGTAGGAACCAAACCAAATGTCTTTTTGAAATTTGTGGCCAGTCGTAAACCAGTTTCATTCTGGGTCAGCCCAACCGTTTCAATGCAGAGCACGTTAATGTTTTTTCTAAGTTCATTGGTGTTGCCAAAACCGTAATTACCATGGAAAAGGTGCTATGGCAGATGACCCCTGCCCTCTCGGCCCTTTGCCCACCTGATCGTGCTTGCTGCAGGGGCTCAGCCTTGCTCCCAGCCGTGGCACGCGTGCCTGGCAGTCGCAGCTGGGAAGGTCAGGGGGGCTTTGTGCCGAGAACGGCTCTGGCACGCAGCCGTGCGGTAGGGAGTGTTAGACGTGCGAGGTGCCTCCATCTGTGCCGCATCCTGTGCTTCCCGAGACACAAAGCCGCATGTTCCTCCCTACGTGCATTGACTGTCACACATTTTATTAAAGATCTTTCAGTTCTGCTGGAAATCGCCCCTTGTCGTAGTCTCGCCGTGATGCAGGGGATATTGTGCCGAGCTCCATGGACAGTCACGGTCTCATTATTCTTCAAGGGGCTGTTTTATTCCACCCTTGTCTTGCCTCCTACTTGTTTTGGGATGACCCTGCAGTTCACACACATGCATACACTCCAGCCAGAGTGTATTTTATTACTACTCAACCCAGGCTGCATCCTCCACAAGACACCACCAGGAGTTCACTGACATTTAAAGCCCAGACACAAGAAGAGCTGTAAGCTTGGCTAGATCTGATACTCTTCCCAGTCAGAAGCAATGGCTTCTCCCACATGCTTGCTAACCACGGCATGATAACACTCCCCTGTGTTTTCTAGGTGACTTCTCTTCATGCTCACGCACACTACGCACTTTCAGGCAGTGCTGCAATTTATTTTCCAAACTGGCACTCAGCTTTTCCACACCCCCGTGGCACCAGTATGCTGTAAAACCCCAGGTGACAGTGGCACCAGCTGAACCAGGGTTAGTTGCAGTGAATCCTACAAGAGCCCATACCATCCAGAAACCACCCTTCCTCCTCGTCATCTGTATGCATAACTAGAGTCAGGCTAAAATTCAGTCCTGCTTCTCCTGCATCCACCCACTGGCTAGAGGGAGGTGAGACCCCCCCCCATCCCCTCCACCAAAATGGTGCCGTGGGATATGAAGGCTTCACATAGACTCTAGGACCCACAAGGTGAGAGTAGCTCAATCCATTCTCCAGCTCTAAGGATGTTTCCAACAGGCTGGTCAAAGGGAACAGCACATTTGGGCTGGGGATCAAGACAGGGGCTCACCTCCACTGCCACTACCTGGACATGATGGCAGAGCTCCCCCAAACGCCCAGCAAGAGATCACACCCTGACCTGCACCCTGCTTTCCACCCACTGCAGACATACAGACACAGGCACGGCTCCACAGGCTGGGAGGGGGATAAGTTGTCTGTTGCTGGCTCCAGTCCATGTTTTCCTCGGTTTTGGCCATGCTTGGATGTATCAAGTTTTTCCACCCTAGGAAGGAGGGAATGGGTGCACGCCCACCTGTGCCATTTGCACCCTGATGTTGAGCCCACCTTTCATTTTCATGCCAGAGCCCAAACTGAGGGGTTACAGAGGACCATTTGTATGCGTATTTATATCGCCGAGTATTGGATTGTGACTTGCTGTGTTTTGATACTGTGGATTTTATTTTTTTTTTTTAAGTTAAATATATTCTATTGCTGGACATCTGGAACAAAATTCAGAGTCTCTTTACATAGCCTGGAGAAACCTCATGAGCCCTGATCAAAATGGGGCTTTCTCCTTCTACCAGCTGGGTGGTGGAGAGCATCCAGTAGACACCAGTGCACACCTGTATCATCTGAGGAGAGGAGGCAGGGGCCGGGGCACGGCCTTCTTAAGGAATTAATGACCCAGAGCCTCACAGGGGAGCAGAGAACTAATGAGAAGCCTTACCTGCCCCTCTGAAACAGCGACAAGGGAGTGGGGGAAAGCCGTGTGCACACACCTACCAGCAATCCTCATCTGGGTTTTCTTTGCAGTTCTAACACTTTGAAATTACTCCAGGCACATTATCTGAGCAGAGCAGACCTCATCGGGTGGCAGAGCTCTCACAAGGGAGCTTTGCCATGAAAGATAGCTCTGCTGCAAGAGCCAACAGCCCGTCAAAACACACCTGCACATTTTGACCATCCGTACTTCATGCTGCCTGCTCCTCCTGCAACATGCAACACCCCAAAGTCACTGCTCTGCTCCCTCCCCAAAGCCACTGCAGGGGGGGGAAACACATGGGAGATCCCAGCTGGACTGTCAAGGCTTCTCGTGGTCATTCTTGAGACGAGCAGGGGTCTAAAGTCTCTAAGCAATTGCTCATTCGTCTGAATGTCCACAACCTAGTAGTTTTGACCCCAAACATTGGCACACAGGTAAATTCCAGGCTGCTAAGCTTCACCTGGCCCTGCTTGGATGGCTTACCTCTGCAGGAGGCTCCTTCCAAACACAGATTTACACAAGCAGCTTGTCCAACACCAACTGCCCTCTGTGCAAGAGACCTCACACTCCGTGTCCTGGCCACTCAGGGCGGCAAGGGCTACAGCCATCACCCCTTTTCTACCCAGGTGGCATTAACAGAGAATGGGTTTCAGCCACCCCCGGGGTGCCTGCAGTCCTGCTGTGAAAGGGTCAGCCTCTTACTCTATCAGAACCCCAAATCCTTGGAGGGATGCAAGACTGCCACAGGCGACAGCAGGCTGCAGGGAGTAAACAAACCTTGAGCACATTCCTCTGTGCTACAGCAAGACTGCGCAGTCCCTCACACACCCTGCAGCCCACCACCAACAGTCAGCTGCCGCTGCCTGGGTGGTTTACCCCTCCTGCTGCAGCGCTTTGGCTCTCCCCACTCCCTGCTGAGAAGGGGGAAGGTGGCACCATTGCACAGGGCTAGGTGGCATCTGCTGCCCGTGCAGAGCAGGAGGAGGGGCGGCCTCCCTTTCTGACAGGCAGGGCAGGGATGGAGAGGGAGCCCCGCAGTGCGGAGGGGAGGGGGACAGCGGTGGAGGTGAAAGGTGTCTGTGAGGAAGTGCAGATCTACCCGTGATATTCACCCTCCACAGCCCCAAATGCAAGGGCAGATGTTTGGAGACAGAGCTTGAGAGATTAAAGTGTGCTTATCCCTGTCCCTGAATTGCCTGCACAGCGCAATGCTCCTCCTGTTTGCACAGGCTCATGCAGAAGCGGCAAGAGACCAAAGCCAAGCATGGCCCTGGAGAAGTGGGAGAGGGCACCCACCCAGTGAGGCTGGGGGAGAAAGCCATTGGGAAGGTGACAGCACGGATCCCACTTCATCCGCCCTCACAAGCGGTGTCCAGCACAGACCATCAGTAACCGCCTGACCCGGCCCCAGGGAGGGACACCCCACAGCTGACACCCCGCTGCTGGGCTGCGGGGACAGCCAGCCTCACGCAACTTGTCTTTAGGGAGAGGAATGGGGAAGGGGGAAAGATGCAGACTGCTGTTGGCAGCTCGATGAGGCCATCAGCTACAACAAGAGCATCAGAGGCAAGGAGCCCACCAGGGACCAGTCTCCGTACCGGAGCAGCACAGAGCAGCCCTGCCCAGCCACAAACCAGGTGGTGGGTCCAAGCCTGGGGGACTTCAGTGAGACTCAGGGGGCCAAACTCAGGTTTGCTGCAAGACCAGCAAAAAGGCTCCTCTCTCAAAAGGCTTTGAGGGATCTGGTAGGTGAAGCAAAAAGCTCCGTTTCACTTGCTGCCTCTTTCTATTTAGGCTTCGTCCCTCAGCATGTGAAAGAAGCACTTTGGGATGAAAACTGATATATAATATTACGATACTATTAATACACCCATGCAGACACACCATCACGTGGCAAATCCACTAGAGAGAGCTGGGATAATTATCTTGAAGAGTTTTCTTTAAAGCTCTGCTAATGCAACAGTTTCAGAAAGGGAAGGAAAATACAAAATAAAAAACACAAATGAAAAGTCAGAAGCTGGAGCTTAGCAAAAACCAGATAAACCATGGAAAACAACCCCTGTGCCTTATCCTCAACCAAGCATCATCATGAGGACAGGTCTGTCCCTCAGGCAGAGGGACAAGCATCTCCAGCAGTTTTCCAGCCCTGCAGGCTGTTGACACCCATATCCCTGGGAGTGCTCTGGCATCAGCAGGCAGAAACCCAGGAGGTTTTCAGGGGGGTAAACAAGAGGCAGAGAGGGAAGAGGTGATGAGTGCAGCCTGCAGTTTCTGCTGGCTCCTCAAACAGGCAGCAGCAGCTCTCCTGGAACAGACACCAAACCCCCTGTTCTGAGAGCAGCCTTGTAGCCAGACAGCACCATCACCCAGAAACCCAGGGAATGAGGTGACTAGCAGGTTCCTGGGGCACTTGCCCCACAATATGCTGGCCCTTGCCAGGAGACAGCAGGCAGCAAACCTCGAGCTCCTGTAGAGCTAGAAATGCCCAACACAGCCCTGCTCTGCCATTCTCCAGCATCCCATGGGTGGGCAGAAGCCAGACCAGAGCTGCTCCTATCCCCAAGCCTGGCACACAACCAAAGCCTGCGGTCGCCCTGGCCCAAGCCTCCCACCACACCCTGGGCAGAACCCCTGCCCGGCCACCCACCTCCTCCACAGCATGCAGCCCCCAGGGAGGCACACAGCCACCACACACATCTCACCCTGTCTTCAGGCACAAACTGGCTCAACCCCTGGCCTCCCACAAGGGCAGAGCCTGCCCAGGTGCCCCCACAGCTGTGCACCCACTCAGTGAGCACAGCAGTGCTGGGGCCAAGGAAAATCTCTTTCCAGCAACCACCATGCAACAGGGAAAATTACTCTGCTTTTGCACTTGTAACCCCACCAAGCTGGGCTTTTTCCACCTTCATCCCCCAACAGAAACACTGGCCCGTCCCCAAACCAAGCTCACCTTCTCAGGGCTGCTACACGCTGCTGGGACACATCCAGCCCCGCAGCAGCACTTGCTGGGAGCCACCCAGGGCAGCAGCCCATGGCACTAATGACACTCCCACACTGACAGGGAGTGCCTGAGACTTTATACATGGTCCGAAGCAATCAGTGAAACCAGGTATGCCTTGCATGAGGCCATCTGGAAGATTTCAGGCTGTCAGCTGTTGTTACACCCATGAGGAAAAAAAAGCATCTTCACAGGAGTTCTCTGGTCAGCCCTGGCTTGCAGCCCACCCTGATGGGGAGCCAGGGTCTGCCTGCAGGCAGCTCTCACTGGTGGCAATGTAGAGGCATGGAAATACATCACCTGGATATTGTATCATTTAGAAATATATACTTAGAAAAACACAGTTCTGTTCAAAACACAATTCTGTTCAAACTAGCCTGAGCAACCATTTAAAAAAGTAATACCCATGCAAAGGAGGGTTATTGCGAGGTATACATGTACTATCTCAAAATCTTCAAGTCATGCAGTCCAAATATACATTCAGATTTG